TACAATTATCAACACTAGCTACTCTCTTGAAAAAACCATTATCAACGCTGTCCTACAAGGTTCAACTTTGATGACGGCGATGTTATTCTTGTTATATAACTTAATCGGTGCTATTTAACATATATATATATATATATATATATTAATTTTGTTAAGATTATAATAAATTCTTAAGTTAGATTGGTGGTTGGGTGTTTAGTATTATTTCATAAAGGTTTTTAGTTTGAATCTCTTTAAAAGTATAGTTTTTCATAAACAAAACGACGTTGTTTTTGGGCTTTTTAAGCATCAAAAAGTCACATCAAAAAACGTCGTTTTAGTGAGGCAATCACATCAACAACGTCACGACACACAGCAGTCACGTTATCGTCTTGTTAAGTCATTAACGGCGGAGTGACATAATTACACTTAGAAGTTTTGTTTTTTTTTAAAATTGTCTAGGGCATTTAACGGTGAGATTGATTTCACAACTATTGCTGCAGTATTGGTTAACGGTGTTCACCATGAAGGAGATCAAATTATGGTTTGTGGTTATGGTTTGCAGGTAAGCATTTAAGCTTCTCATTTCGCTGAATTTTTTTGGGATTAGTGGATGTTAAATTCTCCAGTATTTATTTCTTATTTCAGGGGTATATTGTGACCAATATAAGAGTAACGTGGACACCTCACCCTATGAAGGAAATCCGAGTGAAAGTATGGTTTCCTCTCTCATATCTGTTTAAACTCTCTGTCTGGATGGAGGTTATATTGAAGGTTATAGAATTCTCTTGTATTGACATCCTATGTATTGCTCTTTATGGATGTTAATATGATTTGATGATGTCCTTTGTTTTCTCTTAATACGAATGGATATCACCACAACGTAAGGCTAGGAAACAACTTTCATTAATATGCTGGTGACAGCCGATGGAAATTGTTTCTCACGATCATCAAAGTGTGCTGTCTCTGTTTGAGCTGATGTAGTCAACGTTGCCTCTTCGGATGGATTTGATATGTATCTTTAGTTGGTTGTAGTTCTTGCTTTGTTCGGTCGGTTGCAATGTTTTCCATTGGAATTGTCTCTATTCGCTTTTGTTGTCTATGTAAGCCTGACTTTCGATATTGGTATTTTCTTTGTATTGTTCTTATGTAGCACTCTTTTCCTCCAATTAGATTAAGGAGGTTTTTAATGAGGCTCATAAGTTGTTCTTCGTCTCTTGATTTTAATAAATCATCATTCCTATAAAAAAAATATGCTGGTGGCAGGCAATTGTATTCTTCTGTTATGGTTATCTGATAAGTTTTAGATTACTTAAAATTTTAACATACGGGAACAAACTTTGAACGAGTCCAGAACCTTGTGGATTGTTTCCTCAATGAGGCCTAATTTTTTTTTTGGATAATTATGGATGACTTTTTGGCTGGATGATTGTAGGGACTAGGGAGCCGCATATGCAGCACAAAGAGATAAAATGAAGTGCTTTGATTAAACCAAGCAGGATGAGTCTGACTTGCTCTGCATTATAAATTGCTTGTCATTTACAAAGTGATATACCATTTTTGAGGAACCGGTACCCTTTGGGATAGTTGTGCATAAAATGGGAAATTTGTTCAATAACTCGTGATAGTTGGCTAATATGATTAAACCAATGCTCAATTTGTGTATTTGCATCATATAGTATAAAAAGGAAGCGTGGTTTACCAAGTAAACGATGGTGTCCTATCTCATTACATGTTATCTTATTAATTATTCGAGATATGCGGATACCATTGTCAAATTTCTCGTCGTTTTTTTTCAAATAAGATAATGTTATTTATTATGGTAGTCAATGTGATGATGTCCTAATTCATTGGATGTTATCTTTGTTTTATTTTCTTTTTTAACCATTTCATGGAATCTAATGCACAAATACTATATAAAAAGAATTGAAGTGTAGTTTACCAAGTAAACTTGACATTGCTCTTAACCCATTCATTTGATGCAGCGATGCAATGTGTAATTAAATAAATAAAGCTGGTCCAGCTCTTTTACGATCGATTGCCAAACAAACAAACTATATAAGCGTAAACTACTTGAATGACCATTTAACTATGGGATTGGTATAAATATAACCATAGAGTAAATTGCATGCTTACTCACTGAATTTTAATTATATTTTTAAATTTATTTTTCATTATAATCCTAAATAATATTAATATATTAATAAAAACATGACAAGCCATATGAGAAAATAATAAAATAGTTCATGTCAGTGATAAAAAAAAGCTCAATGTCTAAAGTTCAGTGAGCAAATTGAAAAAATTGAAAGTAAGGTGATTGAAATAGGAGAGAGAGTAAAGTTCAGTGAGTAAGAGTGTAATTTACCTCACTACAACAAATTCGGAATATGAAATATCGTCATCGAAACTTTACATTTACGTCACTGTTTATATTTTGTGACGTAAAATTTAACGTCACGATGAACGCCACGCTAGGTGTGTCACTAAATGTCAAATATGCCGATATATATATTTTCGTCACATATTATTAAATACACAGTGACATTAATAAATACATCACCTTAGAAATTATATTAAATGACAATTAATAATTTCATCAAATAATATAAAATGTCACTAATAACGACCCATGATCAAGTTGCAACATTTAAACTATGCTAACCAGGCGACCACGATAAACCTTCTTAATGAGACAATCATCAACAAAGGACAAATCATTCATGGGCTTTAGTCAACAGCTTTCAATCCTATGTAACATGCATTGCAGGAACTCATGAGCTTCTTCGTATTGATATATATCTTTGAAAAATGATGCAATACCTAGGTCCATGAGAATCAAGAATCACCAATATGAACACACATCATTTTTGTATTTTTCTAGTCACTCCCCATACTTGAAATACACCTTTCTAAGCACATTGATAATAAATATGTCAATCTCTTACAATGACTAAAGAAATGAAGTGACTAAAATTTACTAAAAATTCAATTCTAAATGAAAATCATTCAATGCTTATCACATATTATGTAACGACCAATTAATTATAAACTAATCAAACTACTAATAGAAAAATAAAGGATACAATTCAATTTGTAAAATCTTTTGTGAGGTGTTATTCTTGTTATATAACTGAATCGGTGCTATTTAGCATATATATTAATTTTGATAATATTATGATAAATTCTTAAGTTAGTTTGGTGGTTGAGTGTTTAGTATTACTTCATAGAGGTCTTTAGTTTGAATCTCTTTAAAAGTATAGTTTTTCATAAACAAACGACGTTGTTTTTGGCTTTTTAAGCATCAAAAGAGTTACGTTAAAAAACGTCGTTTTGGTGAGGCAACCACATCAACAACGTCACGACACACAACAGCCACGTTATCGTCCTGTTAAACCATTAACGGCGGAGTAACATAATTGCACTTAATTTTTTTTTTAAATTGTCTAGGGCATTTAACGGTGAGATTGATTTCAGAACTATTGAAGCAGTATTGGTTAACGGTGTTTACATGTTTATTCATCAAAAAGTTATTTTTGTGTTTTTAAAAACCAAGACAATGGTCTCAGGTCATGTTAGCTAACGCGATGGTGTCCTAGCTCTAGATGTTATCTTATTAATTATTCGTGATATGCGGGTATCATTCTCAAATTTCTCGTCGTTTTTTCAAATAAGATAATGTTATTTTATTATGGTAGTAATGTGATGGTGTCCTAATTCATTGGATGTTATCTTTTTAATTAATCTTGAGAGGAGGGCATCCTTCGCAAAATTTGCATTCATATAAGGATTATATTGGATGTTATCTTTTTAAATTGTAAATTTAAATATGATGGTGTCCTAATTCATCACATGTTTATGATATTCTCTAATTGCTTCAGTTTGAATCAAGATTCAATTGATAACATTGAGGCAAATGCCATGCTCAATATTCAATCCCTAAGTGAGAAATGGGCATCAAGATATTATAAGGAGTTCTCTCCGGATCCCCTACCAAAACTGATTTGTTGTTTCCCGGGAAACAAAATTTCAGCAAATAGGTTGAGAATCATAGCATGAAATCTTCCTTGAATTTGAAGATAGCCCCAAGTGGGCGTAGTGGGAGCAGATTCTTGGTTTTTGCTATATGTCTTGTGGCCGATCTCACTGACAGCGGTCGCATTAAAGATCTTGAATTTATCTGTGAATATCAACTGGTAGCCGCCAGTGGTAGTGATGGTGACGGTGGTTTTGAAAAGTACAAAAGTGAGTTATTTTGCGAGGCAAAGCATTGGACGAATGGTATTTGCATGGGTGATCATGTGTACATTCTGTGTGGTAAGGATATGGTTAGAGAAGACAAGAATTATGAGGAGGCATCGTTTCAATTCTGCATCAAACATGGCACATTCAATGAAGAAGAATATATGGAGGTGAAGAAATGTGGAGTTGATGTAATTTACGTGGATGCAGAGAGGTGCACCATCACTGATGTCATGAGATGTGATAAATCCAACCACATAAAATGGGCAATTTGTTCAATAATCTGTGATAGTTGCACCTAATTATTTTTTCACCTGTCTTCTATTTTAGGTATAGAATAGATCGTCCAAGAAGGAAATTGGCTTGGTTTTATTCATAGGAGCAATGGTGGCTGCAAGGAGATTCGGAATATGTTCTTGAACAATATCTGCTTTTTATTCCACGACAAAGATGATACAAAAACATTCAACATATTTCAAGCAGATACGTTATAAACCAGAAGTGTCACCTTAAACTTGGATTAATTACAAATTTAAAGTTTAAAATAGTTACACAATTTAGTGCTCCGCTTTATGCAGAATCGACATAGATGAAAGACTAACCACGATCCTATTGATTCTATAGGGTGCATGATATAGTTTATGGGGTCAAGTCATCATACATAAAAACAAATAAAAACAACACTTGAATTGCAGCACCTGAGAAGTGAAATGGTAAAATCCAACATCCCACTATCGAAACACTGAATTTCGACACTTGATATGCGATACACATGAACGCCATTAAGATGAAAACGATCCCCGAGAGGAGAGAGAATTATTGATGCTGAAGAGGTTGGGACAATGAAAGATATTGATTGGTGAAAGCATACTGCAAGAAACGCAAGTAGCACTTGAAGTGCTGTCCTGAAACCATAGGGAAAAGGTTTAAGCAGGGATAGTGTTAGGAAAAAGGTTACGATGAAGACGACATAGGTCGGAATATAGAAAAGAAGAAACTGGGAAGGGTCCATGACAGATATCCCCAATTTCTTTGAGGCGTTTCCACCCTGCCAAACACCACCAGGCGGGCTAAGTGTGGCTTGGTAGGTTGCAGTTAGAAGCATTAATCCTAAATTACCAGTAATGCATTACGGTTCTCGCCTGATATATTATCCATATCACGGAAAATCAGTGACGATGCTTTGGTGACATAACTGGCGGTTTGTTTCTCCAACTTAGGTATAAACTTTGAAACAACTTGAATAAAGCAACCACGCAAACCAGTAATGCTTTCTGTGTAACCATGTTGATGGGAAACACCCAGTGCCGTCAAACCAGCTTGATCAGTGGCATGCTTATCAGCCTTGCAGTTTAATAGTAGTTTAAGCATCTGTTTAATTGATAGTTTGAGATATAAAAAAGCTACATTAATCAATTAATCGTCTCTATAAAGTACAAAACAATCAATGTAGTATTAATTATTAACACTAAGGAGTCAAACCTGGGCCTCATTGCTGCTAGCTGCTATGTGCAGTGCTGTGTTGCCATTTTCATCCTTTCGATTCACCACTTCTCGATGATAGGCTGTCTTCATAAGTGTCCTAAGTAGGACTTGGAGAACATCTAGCCTTCTGTTTTCCACGGCTATATGCAAAGCAGTGCTATTTTGAGTTGTAACATCCAGGATACTATCAGGGCAAGCCTCTAGAAACCTATCCAGAAAGAAGTCCTGGTTTGCAACTTTACTTACATAGTGCAAAGGAGTCTTACTCTTCCTTCCTCTGACACGAACAAGATCTTTTTCGATCTCCAAAAAGCAAGGCGCCACCTCTTTATGGCCTTTTTTAACTGTTAGTCTTAAATAACATGTTAGTCTTAAGCATATTATTATTGTTCATGCCCATAATAATATTTGACTATGAAACTTTTAATAATAATAATATTATTATATGGACTTTATTATCTTTCAGTTTTTGTTAAACACAGACATATAACTGATAATAATAGTGGCAATGCCTTTATTCAATAAAATCGGTAAATAAATGTATTATTACAATAATCATATGATTGGTCTTTAGGTATACTCTAACAATAGATTGATCAGATCATCGGAGGAGGGAGCAGCCATTTGGTGGCAACAACGTAGTCAAGCGACAAGAATGGTTCGGCTTCCTTTTCGGTTAGCTGCTTGGTGAATGGCTCCCGCCCACTGGAAGATGCGCCTACCCCAGTGCACTTGTATTCTCCATAGTAAACAGTTCTACAAAAAAAATAATTATCATTATCATAATTAATCAATAAGATTAGTGTGTGACCATCAACTTACTTGGCTCTTTCTGGTTGCATGTCATGAGACCAGCCGGCAGGATTCACAACGTCGGTCATTTCAGTATAAGCATAAACAACTCTCGGACTGCTCTTCCATGCCCTCCCCAAAAATGAACCCTTTGCCGTTCCGGTGATTTTTCCGTGCACAATGGAGTACCCGGTGTCCTCCGATGAACTTTCTCTAGCTTGTGCCGTGATTACTGTAAGTTTCGGTTCTATTTCTACAAATATTTCCGTGTCCTGCATCCCACTTTTCCAATCAAATTCTGGGATATCTATATCTATATATATATATATATATATATATATATCGTATTTCATGTGTTTTCTAAATGTATACCAGATATAAAGATTTCCCACTTCCAAAAATGAAATCAACGGTGCCTCGAATATAGCAATCCTTGAAGAAGTGGTTCCCCCTGTCATCGCACACTGTATCCTGAAAACCGAATATGTTGCAGCCATAAAATGCCGATCTGTCACCGGATACTCTCAAGGCAACCGCTTGTGCTCCTTCCCTTTTCCCATCAGGCTTCGGAGCACTGTTCTATGTATAATAACAAATTATTGAAAGTTAACAATGTATTCAATTCAAGGAAGAACATGTTGTTAAGAATTTATAAGTGGAGAAAATAAATAAAACGTAATACGTGTAAAAGATGAGATTTAACGATGTTCAATTTTTTTTATTTCTACTGGTGAAAAGAATAATAATCCATTATAAACGTATAGATTATCATGTTCATCATGAAATATATTCTAGGGTATGTACATATGTATTAATAATAGAAATTTTTGTATGGACGTATACAAATAAAATTCATATTAGACATCATCAATAAAATAAACAATTAATCTAAAGAAATTTAGATTTCAATGTCTACCCTAGATAACATATACATGCAACCACATGCTAAGGATACATATACATAATATCTCATGTGTACTAAAGTTTGATATTTATTTATTTATTTAAAATATCTCAAAATATTCTCTTACTATCTCTATAAAGTTAAACATCAATTATAATTTGAGTTAAAATATAAGCATATGTGCTGGTTAAATTCTGGAGCTTACTATTATGTTGAGATAAGCACCCACAAAGTAATTAGACAAGGTGGTGAGAGTGCCGCTGTCTACAGTTCCATAGTCCTTGGCGGTGGCATCAAATGTCAAATTGGGCATGTTTTTGGGGTCCCCCACCAGTGTAACGTAAGGCTTGTCTCGAGGGATTGTGATTTTCTCTTGGTAAGATCCGGGTCCGATAGATATTATAACGCGTTTGCTATTCCCGGCTGGAACGCTGTCAATGGCTTTCATTATGGTAGCGAAATCTCCACCGTCACCTTGCTTAACCTTTATGATTTTAGGTTCAGCCTCGGCCTGAACCAATTCTGGGTCTAAAGTGCCAGCCCTTTGACTGAGAGGCTTGATAACGCTATTGAACCAATCATTTACCTTGGATTTGTCCTCCGGTATCTGTGTACTTTGAGACTGAACGATCGGAGCAAAAAAGACAATCATGCAGATTGCTGCATAAACTCCACCGTTTTCGATTCCTTTTGTTCCTGTCATTTGTATTTTTTATTGTTGATATTGTGTTTATTTTTTCGGTGACTCTTATTTATAAGATAAATTTGTGAAGAAAAATCTGTAAACATGAGATTTAGAGTGATCCTCGCTCCGCCTATCATTTTTTATAGTTCTTGCATGCACCATTAAGCTTGTTGTGTAATTCAAATCAATACTTTAAGATGGTCCCACTAGTGACTTGACACACGGCATTAAAACTTCTGGAATGTTCAAAATATATTATTATATCATTTTGTAATTTATATTAGAATTAATATACTTTTATAAAATAGAATAAATAAAATTAATTTTAATTATACTTTAACTTAAATAATATTTTTATTAAAATTAAAATAATAATGTATAATCTTATGATTAAATATTATACCCTCCTTAAGAATTTTAGAATTTTAGGTTCAAATTACATCATAATCTATCCATATATATATATATATATATATATATAGTTTTCATTAAATTATATCATGTGTTATTATCTTATCCAAAGATACTAACTTACTAGGAAAAATACACATAAAATATCATATGACGATAATAACCTTAATTAAAGCAATATTAAAATTTAATGACTCCAATATAATTTCTGTATTGCGGAGGATTGTTAGGATGCATAAGTGTGTGATTGTTTTGATTCAAGTAACTAAAAAAGAGATTTGACTGAATCGAATATAGCGAGGTTTTGGTGCGATGATGTTGTCGATTTTAGATTCTCGAAAGCTGTGGGTAATGTTGGGGGTCTGCTGATTGTGTGGGATAAGAGTCGTTTTTTAAAGGACATATTCTTTCTTTTATTAGGGAGGTATGCTTCACAGTTTTCGAATTGCTCAGTGTTGAATGCTTATGCTCCTTGTCATGTAGGCTCACTATGGAATGAGAATATGGTTGAGAGGGGAAATTTAATTAATAATTGATTCATGGCTGGTGACTTTAATGCCATTCGAAACTATAGTGAGAGAATTGGCTGCTCTTTTAGTCAAACTGAGATTGCAGCTTTCAACACGTTCGTTGTAGAGTGTGATCTTTTTTGTATACCTTTAGCGGGGAGGAATTTTACATGGTTCAGACCGGAAAATAGTAGGAACCGCCTTGTTTTGTTGAGGATGAATGGCTTCAGCTGAGATAACAGTGATGTTATGAGAGGATTGTTAGTGTGGCTCTAAGAATATTAGATATGTCTTTCCCCGTTTGTACAGGATGCTTCAAAGGAAATTGGTTGTTGTAGAAATAATTGTTGGCAATGGAAGCTGGCAGGACGTTGTATGGGAGATTAGTTGCAAGATGCTTGCTGGAACGAGAAAAACATTGTCTGGGAGTGGTTAACAAATTGGTCATGTCAACAAGAGTTTGGTGGCGGGTGATTTGGTTGTAACTTAGGACAATAGATGAATTATTAGAATTCTGCTTTCAAGTCCGATTGCGAGGAGAAGCAAAATTGTTTTTGGTTTATTTGTGCTGCTTCGATACTTTGAAATTTGTTCTTGTCTCAAGATCGAAAATTGCAATGGCTGATCTTCTTGCAAATGCGGGTCTTTGTAGACAAGAATTAATCAAAGCGTGGTGGAAAGTGGGGAGAATGGTTCTGAAGAATTTTCTTTTTGTTCGTTGTCTTATGTTGTGGCGATTCATGGTCTGGTTTGTGGCTGCTTTAGGTTTTGGTTGAGGTTGATTTGAATACTTGCAGTTAACCTTTGGTTCTGCTTTCATGTTTTAGTAGTTTAGGGTGGTTTTTTGGGGTTTTGTTTTTGCTCTGTTGGCATGGGTGAATAGGTTTTGATGGGTTTACAGGTGTTTTTATTTGCAATCTGTTGTCTATGTTTGTGTTGCAAGGTATATTGATTGCAGCAGGTTGTTGCAGGGTGCCTTCACGTTCAGCAGATTTTGATTGTGTTTGTTTTGAACGTTGTTCCAATGCTTGATTGTGTTGTACTCTTTTCCTCTATATAGGTTTAAGGAGGTTTTTAATGAGGCACACAGTTTAGGCGTGGACATGTTGACTTTATCATCAATAAAATATTTATGTCGAGCAAAAAAAAAAACTGTGAACATTTTGGAAGGTCTAATTAGTAGGAGGCGTGTTAACTGTTGAGTGTCGTGCTTGATTTGAGTTTCGTGTAATGCAGTTTTCTGGCATGAAACAAGGCTTTTGTAGAGCTATCTCAGTTGTTTACGATCAAGCAAGCTTGTGGGTTTTAATGTGATAATAAGCCCAACCACAATGTGAAACATGCAAGGTCATTAGCAAAGGATCTCATCAAGTTATTCTATGCTTCATGCAATTGTCAGGTGAGCTTTTAGGTGAGCTTTTAGAAGGGGTATTGTCGTGCACTTCAGTGATTCCTTTTTGCAGGAGTGATTTTGTAAGCTTGGGGTTGTGTTTTGTTGGGTGATTTTGTTGTTTGGTGTTGACTCTTTTTATATTGTCGGGGAGAATGTACTTTTTTCATCCTTTTAGGATTAGAGAGGTTTTTAACGAGACACTCTCATTGACTATTGTCTTTATAGTTATATTAATAAAAATTATAATTGCCGAGCAAAAAAAATTGTCTTAGTTTTAATTTAATTCAAAAAGAAAGTCTTACAATTGTCTTAGTTTAAAATAGTTACACAATTTAGTGCTCCGCTTTATGCGGAATCGGCATAGATGAAAGACTAACCACGATCCTATTGATGCTATATGGTACATGATATAGTTTATAGGGTCAAAGTCATCATCAACCATAGAATAAACTGCAAATGATAAACAATAACCTACAACTACAATGGTGCCTTTCCAGAACTTATCATACATAAAAACAAATAAAAACAACACTTGAATTGCAGCACCTGAGAAGTGAAATGGTAAAATCCAACATCCCACGATCGAAACACTGAATTTCGACACTTGATATGCGATACACAGGAACGCCATTAAGATGAAAACGATCCCCGAGAGGAGAGAAAGAATTATTGATGCTGAAGAGGT